TCAACTTTGCTTTTTTTTGTTTTTTTTTTAAGAATGAGACTCTTTATTTCTGGACATCTCAGATGTGAAAAAGAAATTCACAGTTTAGGTGAAATGCCCACAGGTTTTGTTATGCTAGGGACTTATAAATACAGCTTTTGGGGGCAAACCTCTTTCTCTGGGAGGAGGCTGTTTATTTTCCCAATGAACACATCACTTTTTCTGTCATTCGATCCTATTTTGTTTAATATATTTAAGAGACTCAAGGGTGTGGAAAGGAAGTGAAAAATCAGACCAGGAGATTGGTTTTTGACTGCAGTCATGGTCAAAGGCTATCTGGGGAGGCCTCTATATGCTAGGATTTAGGGGAGGTTTATTTGCTATTTCAACTGGATTGAGAATCCCGTGAAACGTGGGTCTAGATTCATTCGTCTGTTTTCCTGCCAGTGACAATCAGGGTGTGCTTCACATAGTGCGTGCGAGTGGGTGCGCAGCAGTCCTTTTGGGCTGCTGGTGGTGGCCCTGGAGGTGACTCCAGCTCCCCAGGCTCTCCCCCACCCTGTTTGTGACCTCTCAGCTCAGCCGCAGCATCTCCCATTCCTGGGAATAGTGCCTTCACACCTGTGCTGTTTCTGGACTTCATCCCCAGCTGACAGGTGCTATCAGGGATGTGTCTTAGCCTAAGTAAGACAATCAACATATGACAGTCTTGATTCACTTGTTAGTGTTACTGGAAAAGCACTGCTTCTGGTTTCCTGGCCAAAGTGTCACTCTTTTTGACTCTCAGCAGCAATCATGAGGGCAATGGCTAGAGTTCTGTTGTCTCACAACAAAGCTAATTAAAAAGGAGCAGCACAAGTCTTGGACTGTAGTTTCTAGTTCCTTGAAACCAATCCGTAAGTCTTAAACTGATCAGCTTATCAAATGGAATATGTGCTGGGCTCCTAAACTGATCGTGTTGCGTCCCAGGGTTGCCTGCCTCCATGAAGGCAGCACTCAAGCCAGAGACCTGGGCAGTGCCGTGGCTCCCTCGCCCTCATCCCCACGTCCAGCTCAAGCACCATGTCCCGTGCAGCCAGCAACCTCCATCCCCTCCCATCAGCCCACTGTCACCCCTGCACCAGGGCAGACTCTAGATCTTTGCACAGTCAGTTATCTCTACTTAGAACATACCCCCCCACCTTCAGATCTTAAACAGACACAGCAAGGCCTCCAGAGCCTGCCTGAGTCTGTGGGGGTTGCTCCCCTGCACCCGCAATGCCCTCTCTTCCCCCATCACAGCGTGTCTCATGCCATGCTGACCTGCTGAATGTCTCTTGGGGCCTGGAGGAGCAGCTGGTGCCCAGCACATGCTGGAGAAGTGACACGGCCATGGTCAGGCCAGTGAGTGGTGCGCCGCGGGACAGCGAGGCCCAGGACATGCTACCTGGAGGAGCAGCTGGTGCCCAGAACATGCTGGAGAAGCGACACGGCCATGGTCAGGCCAGTGAGTGGTGCGCCGCGGGACAGCGAGGCCCAGGACATGCTCGCTTATGCCTGCCTCTTTCTGCACACATTTGTGGGGAGGTGTTTAAAATGTACTTTGTTTTATGAAATGATGGCAACAGTGGACGGAGTTAGGCTGGCTCTTCGGTTGCTTTCATTTTCTGATATTCTTACTTGGTGACTCTGTGGGTTCCCTGACTTTCTGGAAACTCTAAAACCAGAGTACCAATGGTCATGTGTGTCCACACCAAAGAGAGACACAGAGCATGCTGCCCTCTCCTGCCTCCTTCAGTTCCTTCAAACGCCACCAGGTTTACTGAACAGAGACAGTATGGGTGGCAGGGTCCGGGTCCCTGATGGATGAAAAACTAAAACCCTATTTTTGTACAATAAATGCTTACAATCATTATATATGAAGTTGCAGCAAGAGACCAGTCACCAAGGCTGAGATGTCACCAAGGAAAAAGGACGCCTGGTCCAGCCCTTGCTCTCCCAGCATTGCAATGGATCCTCAATAAAAGGCAAGACTTCCTAGTCCTTTTTCTACTTGCCATGGGGCCCGGGCCTAAAACAGTCAGCAGCAACATGGAAACACAACTGTGTTTAAGCAGAAGGATGACCAGGAACTCCCTTCCTCACGCTGTTTCTGCAAATGTGCCCAGTAGGTTGGACTGAGCCCTGTGCCCCCTGCCTGGTCCCGCAGAGCAGTGTTGTGTCTGTTGTCATGGAAACGATGGCAAAGCCACAGATTCAACACTGCCAGTCCCAGCAGACCTTGGGGACGCATGGCCTCCTCTGCAACAGCATTGGTTACAGTCTGAGTGGCACGGGGGCTCAGGTGAGTGCAGGGAGGCAGCGTAAGTGTGCTCTGTAAATTCCCGCCTGCTCCCGGCTCCCCAGCTGTGCACCCTGTTGGCTCCCTGCATCTTTTTGCCTTGCTGCTTTCCCTGCAGGGGGGACGTCATTCACACTTGCTGCTTCATTGTCCCACAAGCACTGCACCTGAGGAAAAATGAACTGAGCTATTAAGATCTTCTTGGGCGACAGACAGACTTGTGTCTCCATCATAGCTGTGTGACTTGGGGTACCTTACTCAACTTCCCTGAGCCTTGGGTCCTTTACATGTGAAGAAGGGATAACAGCACGCACTACAGAGCTGGAGGAGCAGGTGACCTGACGCACAGAAAGCGCCCGGCACAGAGCCTGTGCCTGACTGCTCCATACACAGGCTGCTGCCACCGCCACTGCGACAGCTGCCTTTGTGAAGAGGTAGGTGTCTTTCTAGTAAGAGTCTTAAAAGGCATTCAGCTTCACAGCTCTTGGCCCTAGGACACAGAGGCTGGCCTTTCCAAACTCCTTTGATATGACGATGAAGTTCACACCCATTTGGCAGATTGAGGTAGAAATGACCTTCACTAAGCATCACAGGCTAAGAAACTGCAAACTCAGCCACTCACTCAAAGCAGACAGCAAGGAGCTTTGGAAAGGATCAGGTAAGGACCACAGCGCCTGGAAATGGGAGAGGCCTCGGGCTGTGTCGCACCCATGTGGGGTCCCCACGGGGCTTCCTGCTGGCGGGGCTACCCCTGCACCTACACTGATGGCTGGCGACTGCCCTGGGGGCTCACACCCACCCTCAGGGACGCAGGTGCCTCACTGACCTGCTTGCCGGATGGGGCCGCTGTCTGTGCTTCCTCCAAAGCCGAACTTGTCACAGAAGGGGGGCGCCCAGTGGGCCTCGCAGTGGCAGTTCTTCCTGCTGTTGCACACCTTCCAGGATGGGGGGGAGAGACACGAGGACAGAGCATTAGGGCACGCCAGCCACGCGGGGTGGCTGCAAGTCTCTGAGCCCGAATCGGTTGCCACAGCAGGAGCAAGGGCACTGTGGCCTGAGCCCCCACCAGCACCGACACAGGCAGTCTCAGGAAATGTCACCATGAGAATGAGCTCAAAACATGGCACCTCACAGGCGAGACCAGAGCCTGGGGCTGCACGTGTGACATAATCCGCCTGCTGGCAGCTGTCAAGAGAATGACGGAGATTACTGGGGCTCATGGGCTCCCTTCTACCACTTCCTCTCCTCAGTCTCCCTGCCTTTTTCAAATCCAATAACTCACTCTCTGACCATGATGAGAAGCCCTCTCAGCAGTGAAGGGAACCCTGCTTCAGGGACGTGGAATCAGAGCCTGTGGCACTGTGGGATTTGACAACCCCTTGGCACACCCAGTCTCTGACAGGAGGCTTGGAGAGGCATGGTGACACAGATCCCACTGCAGGCTGGGGGCCGAGGCAACACTGCAGCTGGCCCTCCCATTTCCTGCTGCCCACGAAGGTACGTGGGACTTCCGCCAACACGTGCTGTAGGCCGTGCCACCACTTATTCCTGAGATGCCCACTTCCTTCTTGCAGAGCTTCCAGGTGACCGTTCCCTGGCTCCCAGCCACGCACGTGGGCAAAGCCAACAATGAACTCTCCCTTGTGAGATAAGAAGATGGCTCTGGCATGGCAAGAAAGGTACCAAGCAGGAAGGAGGAGGTTGAGTTTTGTTATTGTTGGGCCCTAAAAGCGGGTAACCTAACCCAGACTCCAGAAGGCTCTGTGGAGAGGCTAAGGGGGGCCTGCTCACCTGGTTACCAAGAGTCCCTGGTGGTGGCCTGTCTGTTGCCCGTGGGGCTTACTGTTGTTACATATGTGAGCACACGAACCGATGGAACATGGGCACGAAGACAAGAGGGTATTGTTCTGTGAAAATTAGGTTGAACCCTTTGGGAACACTGGGTAAAGGCAAGTCAGTAAAAAGAATTTCTGACAGATTAGGGATGGGTGGAAAACTGCAAAATGACTGGGAAAAGCTGCACAGGACAAGGATTCTATACTCAGATTGCTGTTGAGGGTCTAAATTTCCCCACCACTTAAAGAAACAAACCATAAATTGTAGATGATGTATTCTTGGGTGGCTTATATAAGGAAGTCAATACAGACCTATAGCCAGTAAATCAATCCTAAAGGCCTCAGCCCGAATCCAAACATTGATGCCAAATATACTCTTTAATATTTTAAGGTAAAATAAAACATTTGGTGTATATGTCTCACTTCTAATGTTCCCTGTTCCCTGCTTTAACTGATGTGTTTTGATGAACCAACCACTTCCCCCCATCCCATTTCTTCAAATAAAGGCTGACAGTCACATTAGCCTGGGATAAGTTGGAAAGTGTATTTCTATGAAGTGAAATAGAGCAGAATCAATTGGTATGTGGCATAGCCTGTGCCACTGTCTGTTTCCTCAAAGATGCTGCTGCCGACCCACCACCCCCTAGACACATGCACTGTCCTGCCCGGTCTCCCACTGCAAGGTGTAGTCACATGCCCTTTCTGCAGCTTGAAATAGAGAAATTGCAGCCCTAACACCATGCTTGGAGGTGCTACGGGTGAGTATGTTCTCATTAGAGAGGGACTGTGGCCAAGCTACTTGTCACCAAGTCATGGCCAGCTGTTTTACCTACCCAGAAGAGGTGGGCCTCTCCTCTCCAATGTGTGGATGAGGCCCCAGGGATATTGGAAAATGAGGAGTCCAGAGCCCTCGACCCAGCTTCCTGCCGAGTATTCATGTCATCTTAGACATGTCCTTCCTTGCACTTGGCTCTTGGCTGCTTGATCAGTAAATAATAGGGCTGTACTAGATTGTCTCTTGCAACCATTAGAAAAGAAACTATGATCCAATGACAATATAAAAAGATTCCATTTCATACTGAGAGTCAGCTAAACCCATAGTCAACAAACCCATCTGAGGTGGCACTGCAATCCTTTATGGTTACAGCACAGTAGTCATTNTATTCTGAATGTTGGTAGCAAGAGGGACAGCTCTGTTAATGTGAAACTCTTCATGGAGGAAGGTTGATTGTAAAATTACTTGGAAGAAGACAAAACTCTTTTTTTAAATCATAGAATGTTATTTAAAAGATAATTACTGCTCAATCCTATTTTCTTTGTTAAGCAAAAATCACATTTCTTATGGTATGTAAAGGTCAAAGAAAATTAATGTCTTTAAAAGAAAATACTGAGAAGCTATAGATTGCAAAAACCTCTACAAATGAATGACTTTGTGTAACTTGCTGTGGGCTGGCTGTAGAAAGGCAGTTCAGCCTACTTACTCCTCGGCCGTGGCACTGCTTTGCACACTCGTGAACACCAAAGACGCTGATATTTTGACATCGACGATTGAGGCAGATCTGTAAGGAGGAAAACAGCAACTATCTCAGTGCATCAGCAAGCCCCCTCCCCTATGTGTATTAAAAAAGAGAAAGCAAAAGAAAGCTGGAGAAGACTGTCTTTCAGTCAGCACAGATGCAACATTTCATTCGAACAGATGCATTTTTCATTCGATTCAGACATGCATCCTGTTGCCTGGCTCCAAACTCAGCACTTTTCGAAACCAAGTTCAATGTGAACACTATTGAATCTTTTTTCTTCCTTAAAAGATATAGGAGAGGGCTAGATGGATTTAGTCCTTACCCCTGGCCTGTGTAGACTCACAGACCCCAAGAATCCAGGGTCTAAGAATCTTTTAAAGAAGATATTGAAATATGGGAAATTTTTCAAAATACTGATGGACAAGTCATATCATCAATGACATAAACCATAACAGAAATGCTCAGCAGAGGAAACAGATGCTCCTTTGTATTTATCAAGCTGTTGCAGGGGCAGGAATTTGCTAAATGATACTGGGCTGGTTGAAAGAGTTCAGCTTCATTTCAAAGATGCATAATATACTCCAGACTCAAGGGATCAGGCCCTTTACATATCTCCCATAAGATGTTCAAATTAGTGGAGTCAAAGGAGGAAGAGCCTAATGTTTAGACTGCAGAAGCATTTTATTTTTTATTT